CCTAGAGTGTTGATGAGGTTTTAGGCTCTATGCTAGTTCTAAAGAAAAAACTGAGACAGTGTTGTCAATCTCCTTGGTGTCCAGTAGGTGGAGATATAGTCTAAGGTTGTCTGGGACTGCAGTGGAAATTTTAGGGCATTAGGTAGCTTCCAGAGTCTTCTGAGTCTGTGGGAACGAGTAAGCAGGGTGCCTTTTCTGCTTCCCAGTCCACTCATCCTAACGCACACATACGTCACTTCTCTGCCTTCCCATTCTTAGACACTGGCCTGAGACGGAGATACATACCATGTAGGGAGGAGTGACACCAAGAACTCTACAGTGGGGGAGTGTTGGGAAGAGAGAGATCACAGAGACATTTTAAGAACTTTCCTGAAGTCCAGGTCTTGTGCTATCCAGCACAGATTCTAGGTTGGCAGTAAGGTGTTCTCCCTTCTGCCAATCTGGAAATGCCAGTATCTTAAATCCGTGGAGCGACCACCCTCCTAAAATTCTCACACATGTTCAAATCTAAAAGTGACACAAACCAGGAACTGCAGACCAGACAAGATGCACTATAGGTATTCAGCCAGCCATCTGGCATCCATGGACAACAGACATCAAGTTAATGCATGAGTGGACACCCTGCCTGCCAATGGGCACTAGGCCATGACCACCAGTTGGGTACAATCAGCCTGCCAAGGTGAAGGGCATCCCACAGCATTGTGCCTATCAGCTTCCCTGCCACAAACTGAATGGAACTCAGAACTTGAGAGACCTCCTGCCATAGAGAAATAGACTCAGTTCCTCATTGAAAACAACAGGAGAAAGAGAGGCAGGGAAAGGGGGTAACGCTCTCTTTTGCCTAAAAATAGTAGCGAAGTCTCTTTGTCCTATCCTTAGAAAAGAAAAGTCTGGAAATTGACCCTTCCCGACCCAGAACTGGAAGTTGGGAGTCAGTAGGAAAAAATGGAATATGATTTTATCCTAATGAGTGAAAGCAAATGTGGCATGATGGAAAGAGCTGACTTGGAATAAAGACACCTGAATTCTGTCCCACATTAGCTGTATGACCTTGGGCAAGTCATTTCCTTTCTCTGGGCCTTGCTTAAAATGAGGACATTGGGCTAGATGATATCTAGAATATTGTCCTCCTCCAACATCTGCTGTTCAGTTCTGAGAAGTAATTGACTTTGCCTTGTTAAAGGTGACCAGTCTAGCACCCACAGAACCCCATGTGACCCCAGACATAAGCTATGTCTGAGCTAAAGGAACTGAGTACTAAAGCAGTGGGGAAATGACAGTTCTGAGCTCCCAATGTCCCTTTCCCACTATCTGTTTCCCACCACTGGGGACCCACTATAGGGATTTGAATATCAGAGATGCAGATCTCCTAATCTTTTGCAGAGTGAGAAGGCTGGAGGCTCCAGTCAGCCTTGTAACCAAAAGAATCTAAAACTACTATTTCAAGAAGAAAGTGATGCTCATCTGGGTAATATTCATCATATTAATATGTATCAAAGCCAGGCACAGTGGTTCATAACTGTAATCCCAGCACTTTGGAAGGCCAAGACAAGAGGGTTGCTTGAGGTCGGGAATTTGAGACCAGCCTGGGCAACATAGCAAGAGCCCTGTCTCTACAAAAAGTAAAATTAGGCCGAGCGCGGTGGCTCACACCTGTAATCCCAGCACTTTGGGAGGCCAAGACGAATGGATCACCTGAGGTCAGGAGTTCAAAGCCAGCCTGACCAACATGGTGAAACCCCGTCTCTACTTTAAAAAAAAAAAAATCCACAAGTTAGCCAGGCATGGTGGCAGGTGCCTGTAATCTCAGCTACCCTGGAGGCTGAGGCAGGAGAATGGCTTGAACCCGGGAGGTGGAGGTTACAGTGAGCCAAGATCGTGCCATTGCACTCCAGCCTGGGAGACAAGAGTGAAACTCCATCTCAAAAAAAATAAAATAAAATAAAATAAAATAAAATTAGCCAGGTACAGTGGTACATGCCTGTAGTCCCACCTACTCAGGAGGCCTAAGTGAGAGGATGGTATGAGCCCAGGAGTTTGAGGTTGCAGTGAGCTATGATCAGGCCACTGCACTTCAGCCTGAGTAATAGAGTAAGATCCTATCTTTAAATATATGTAGATAAATTTTGGGTCTAAAGCCAATCTGTCTCTGATCTCTGCTCCACTGCCCACCCAACCCCACCACCACCAGCAGCAGCAGCTGCTGCCCTTCCTCACTAGTCTCTTCCTGCCCCTTTATATTCACGGTGGGCTGACTGTTAGTTCTTCCTGCCTGTGCAGTTTTCACCTGGTCCCTAGTAAAGGACCTGTCCCTGAATTTATCCTGTGAAGAGAGGAATGCCTTTACTTTCCTTCCAGACATTGATTCACTTCCTTTGCCCAGGTGAGTTTCCATAGGATATTGGAAACATTCCATTTACCAGAGCTTTCATACACACTCAGTCTGAAGAAAATATTCAACTTAACTACTGACAACAGAGAATTTGGGGAGATTCCAGTATGACAAGTAACAATACTCATCTGAGACCTGAGTTCTACCACTTGTCCTCACCTCCACCCTGAGAAATCTTAAATGCCCTCAGGGAAGAAAAGCTAGTCAGACTAATTAATATGTTGTTTTCTCTCACTGAGTTAACTTATGCTGAATTTCAAAGAGAATATCATTTCACATCTCATGTATCAGATGTTGTAGTATGCTCTAATCACCTAGGTTAGGGGTGGAAGAGTAGTTGATAACAATAACTTGAGGTAAAATAAGTATAAGTCATGAATCTTACTTTCAAGAAATTTATAGTATATGTTATCTATACATAAGAAGTTACCCCCAGAATGTAGTTACTTGAAACAACAATAAACATTTATTCTCTCTCTCAGTTTCTGTGGGTCAGGAATTCAAGGGCAGTTTAGCGAAGCAGTTCTGCCTTGATACCGCTCTTGAAGCTGTAGTCAAGATGTCAGCTAGGGCTGTAGTTATCTGCAAGCTTGACTGGGGTTGACCACTCTGTACTGCAAGCAGGTTCACACACATGGATGGCAAGTTGGTGCTGGCTTTTGGTGGAAGGCCTCAGTTTCTCTCCACATTGACCTCTCCATAGGGCTGCTTGGTGGCTGCTTGGTGGCTGGCAAGAGATCCGAGAGAGACCATGGTGGAAACTGCAATGTCTCTTATGATTTCGTGTTAAAAGTTACACATGTCACTTCCACAGTATTGTGTTGGTTACATGGGCCAGCCGTCATTCAGCGTAGGAAGGGAAAACAGAAAGGGCATGAATACCAAGAGAGGAAGGTCAATGAGGCCATCTTGGAGGCTACCACATAATCTATCTGGGATTTCAAAGTTATGCTAAAAAGCAATGCTAAATAGAAGAGCTACTATGTTTATAAACCTAGAACTTTGAATACGCTCATGATAGAATAAATTTCATAGTTTTTCACAAAATGCCATTGAATAAGTGACTTCAGTAAACTCTATTTTCATTGAAACTTGGTTTTTATTTTGCGCTCCTTGAAAACATTCTTCACAGTAGGCTAAGGGATTTAATGAATTATATGGTTATCTTAATTTTCATTCAAAGGATATCAGCCATGCTGCTACAACAAAGAAACCCACAAATATAGTGAGCCTCTTACTTCAAATAAAGTACTAGTACAGAGATATATGGAGTAGATGGTCTTTGATAGAAAAGGCTTGCATCTCTGGGTCCATGGTGGCTGCTTAATGTGTCACCATGTCATAGCAAGCAGAAGGATGAAAGAGTGAGAGAGCAACTACCTTTCCTTTTTAAAGACATGACCCAGAAGTTACACACATTGCTTCACTCACATTCCATTGACCAGAACGTAGTTATGGGACCACCTCTGATTGCAAGAGAGGCTGGGCAGTGTAGTATCTAGCTGGCAGCCATGCACCCTGCTAAGATTTACTGTGTGGAGAGCAGGGTAGCAGAGTCATGCTATTAAAAGGAAGAAGAGACAGGACCATGAGAATTAGTGGTCTCTGCCACACTTACAAAATATAAGTTGTGGGGACAGGTCAGGTGACAAAAGTTAACAAGTAATTGGACCACATCTCGGGATCCAATTCAGTAATTAGATGCACATTAAAAACATGATAGTAAGAAATGCTATCTTGCTAGAAGACCACCTTGTAAAAAACAATGTCATACAATTCAGAAATTAGTTTTGTAATGTTGCTGTGTTATGTTTACCATTGCTTTAAAAACAGGCTCAATTTATTCAAATATTTGTTTATCCAGGTAATGTGCTTGGCAGTGGAAAAACAGAAGTAAACAAGATCCTTACCTCACAGAACTTAGTCTAAAAGGAGAGACAAACAGGAAGATACAATATAGTGGGGTAGGTGCTGTGACTAGTGAAATCAGGAGTACTGGGTGGGGGATTAATGAAGGCTTCTTGGAGGAATTAGTGTTTGTGCTGGGACTTGATCTATAAAATACATTACATTCAATCCCAGCTACTCAGGAGGCTGAGGCACGAGAATCACTTGAACCCCAGGAGGTGGAGGTTGCAGTGAGCCAAGATCACACCACTGCACTCCAGCCTGGGCGACAGAGTGAGA